GCCGATAACTTTGAGCTGCAAGTGAAATTAAAGGGGTTGTGTTTGGAACATGGCGAGAACTGCATTAGGAGTCAGAAGCTATTTTTTCAGACCATTAGGTATCTCACAGCAAGCGCCCAAAATTAGCAGACGCGCTAATCCTGTAATCTGCCCGCCCGGCTCCGCGCGGTTAGCAAACGTGCCCGCTCCCCATCTCAGGGCATTGCGGGGATAATGACGCCCTCGGTAGCATTCCAGCACTGCCGGCAGCTGCCATCGTGCCAACAGGAAATGAGAGCTTCTGTGCTCAGAACAGAGCTTGAGCAGCGCCCTGTAAATACGGCACACACGTAGCACTGGAAAGAAAATATTGGATCCAGTGAGTACCGTTCACATAGAACAGAGCAGGAAAAACAGGGCATGACTGAGGAACTGAAAATCAGCACAAAGCTTCAAGAGAAGGTCACAGGCACAAGGCAGGGCTAGACACTGCAGTCACTTCTTAATTTCCAAATGACTTTGCGAGCTTTACATTCTGTGAAAGTGCTACATACAATGCACGTGTTGTATTAATGCATACGGCAACTGGTGACTTCTAGTCTCTGGTCATAATGATAATCTAAACTTGTCAGGGCAATTACAGCCACCTAAAAGGATGCAGGAGGACAAGGAGGTTAACTACAAAGGCGGCACATGTAAACAAAAATAATTTGCTTACAATCAAGTATAGCAAAACAACGAGATGCACGCCCTGCTATTCCAAGCTTCTGGTCAACGATATTTTACGTGCTTGGCTCGGTACAGTGCCTTTGGCACTTGTATTTGTTACTGATGTCTTTTCCACAACAGCTGAAAACATAACTACAGTTACAAGTCATCTAACTACTTGTGATGGCAGGAAGGGTAACTCGTTTGACAGGAACCGTCACCATACTGAGGTCAGACTCTTCCTCCTGGTGACGGACCCTCCTCGTGACTGGCACTGTCAGAAGCCCCAGCTGTATTAGGACCCCTCCTTCTTATGGGAGCAGCAAAACTTCCTTTCTGGAAGACAGGAGCACCACTGACGTACACAAGACATCCTGGACCAACTGTGTGATGCAGCACATGGCTGAGGATTTGAGCTTTACGGAATGCAGATTTATCACGCTCTGGAAAAGAAGAGTTTATGCAGATGGGTTCTGCTTGCCATGGAAATGAAGGTCATCTGGATTTCTGGGGTAGAGATTGGCTAGAATGCTAGGAACATCACACAGCCAGGGAAGGAAAAAGAAAAAGAAAGATACAGAGAGAGAGAGAGAGAGAGAGAATTTGTATGAAGAATTCAGCACATAAACTAAATGGCAAGAATGAAATGAAGTACATAGCCAAGACACAAAGGAAAATAGAGTTTTCCATTGCAAGGCCTAAAAGTAATAAGCAACAGACATGAGAATTGTTTGTTTTAATTGTAAAACTATCCCCTTGATACTACTGCATCCTTGTGGAAGATGGACATCATAAGATTATTGCAAAACGTTGTTCTCCTGGAAGGACTGGAAAGCCAAAGACAAGGGAGCAGCCACTTATGGATGAAAAAACGACTGGGAGGGAGGCTCGTGAAGCAATACTCAAATGAATCAAGAAGAGATGAGACATTAGGCAATGTCTCTTCCAGGCCACCAGTCACACAGACACTATGACAACTGCTTCTGTGAAGATGATTCTCAACCATATGCAGTCATACAACACTTCTTAATGCTGACACACGTGTTCTAGAAATGTCTCAAGCCAATACTAAAACACTCATGAAGCTTTAAGGATTATGCTGCCACTTCTTCACTCAAAAAGAATTCTTGCATATTATAAGAAATCTCATCTTGAGAGATAAGGAAGCATTTCAGAATTAAAAAGTTAAAGCACAAGCAGCTGTCCAGATCCTAGACATTATATTCAATTCAAATGAGCAAACATCAACAATCCATGTACTTGAAAATGCTTCAAGAAATCCTAAAAATGCATTATTGTAAATGAGAAAGGAAGACCAGGAATACTGTCTCACATCGGCCTTTTAATCCAGTATTCATCCTGAAAAGGTAAGGAGACATATGATATGGCACTTAACCGATAAAATGTGATAAGAAGATGTACATAATGAATGCTAAATAGCCTGGCTTGTGGAGCTCGTCAAACTCTTGAAATCATTTTGATGTAAGATGAATAAAACTGTTTGATAAAGGTGATGGTGTTGATTTATATGTATCCTGCTATCTGTAAAACATCCATCTTCTTCTCCCATGACACCTTGATTAATAAGGTGGAACAATGCAAAGTCAACATCTACATTAAATAACTTGTATGATAGAATTCTAACTGTTATTTATAATACAGCAATTCAAGGTTGGGTGGATATACTTTCTTAGAAGCACAAATATGAAGGAAGCTACAGTTGTCCTTGTGTTATTAAGCAGTTTTATGAATGACTTCAACAAAAGAGAAGTTTGCAGATGACAAAGATAGGTAGAGGAACAGGAATGTGGAATTGAAGAGCTCTACAATCTAGAAAGCAAAAGCGAATAGTAAAATTCCTTATGAGTCACAGCCATTTCCTACCGAAAGTCACCAGAGTTCAGAACTGGCAATTTTAATTCCTCTTATTCCCTTTCCAGAGGGCAGAAAATCGATGTTCTGTTCTACATAAGTTATCAAAGTCTCTAACTTACCTGAAAATATATAATTTTCCTTGTGAATGGCAATGACAAAACACACATACAAATGCACACATTCAACACCCTCCCAAACATATTTATGATGTTTTGCCCCATAGTCTCTTTTTCCAAATATCTGGTATGTAGAGTCCCTTTTAGCAGCAATTATTCACCAATTCTCTTCAATTAAATTCACATCAAGGAGGGTGAAAAACTCAATCTTGAAAATATGTACATGACACTCATCCCTGAAGCCTGGACTCGGCACTGGAGTGAAGCCTCAGCTTAGCTTTAAACAAACTGTACCTATCAGGCACCACTGTAGGACAGCAGTTAGCCTATGCTACCACACTGGCAGCCCCAGCCTTCGCTCGCTGCCACAACAGCCACCCACCACCATCCTCCAAGGCTCTGTGGACACCCGGAAAGGCAGGGAAAGGACTCACTGATTTCGTGGACTCCAGAGACCCTGAGGAGAGGGTGTCGCGGCTGCCCCGGCTCTTGGAGCTGAGATGGGGCGAGGACGACGGCGAGTCATCGATGTAGGGCATCATGTCATGGTGGCGCCTCTGCTCCTCGGCGCGGTCTGCGTCGTACGCGTAGCTGGGCGGCGTGCCACCGAACGGGGCATCTGCAAAACAGCACAACAGTGTGTCTGGTTGGAGCCAAGCTGCACGGGAGGCAGGCTGGTCAAGCAAGACCGCCGCTTGCCTCCCAGCTATGATCCTTACTTATCAGTAAATCCAGAGTCAGTGATAGTTAAATATAGATCAAGCGGAGGCGTAAATTAATTAAACTCATGGTGTCACTAAGCTCGCTCACTTCAGTCATTGCAAATTCTAAAAACTCAAGTCCTTTCTAATATCTAAAATTCATGTTTGTTTAATCAGAGTTTTTTTTCTCCTCAAAAGCATCAGAAAAGAAATCCTTCTGTAGCCTCCATTGAGCTTCTGCAGTCTGGGTTTAGGGATGTTGCTGTCTAGGGTAATAGGCCCTTGTTTTTGTGTGCAACCAGCCACAGGTGACACCTCTACCTGTTCAGCAATTACACGTAATACATAGCTCAGGGAAAACACAAATCCTTGCAGATCTCTCAGGAACAAGAGGACTAGAAAAGCAAGATCTTACATGGCAAGTGAACAGGCCTGCTGCCAAAAATAAAATCCTAAGAGGCCCTGCATTGGTTGTCCTTAAACAGCCGCCTCCTCCCAAACAAAAAAGGCAGCGCGGTGGCATGAAAAGTCAAATTAGCCATTACTGCAGAAAACGTCATGGAACTTCTGCAGGAAAGGGAAGCAGTAAAACTGGTGTCTTTGCTACTTGGATGCTGGGTGCGGAGACTGTTCCTGCAAAGACTGTGCTAAGGACAAACTGAGCAGCTCCCTCCTCTGTGGACGGATTAAAGGTCTTGGACATTTCTGCATATACAAACACATACATTGGAGCAAACTTTGCCTTCTGAGCAGCAGCCCACGGGCAGCTGGGGGCAGCTTCACGCGTGGGCCACCCGGGCCTGCGGCCGATGCCACACAGACTATTACGGGAGGATTACTCCCTGCCAGGGAGTATTAAGGAAAACAAAGCCACAAAAAGGATCCCATTTTTACTCCTAAAAGTATAAAATTTTACATTCAATTCACACTGGAACATAAATAGAAGCAAATTTCACTTGTTTTCATAAAAATCCAGGTTCTGTGAAAGTAATAGGTAGCAGCTGCCAGGCATACTAATAACGCAGCTCTGCATCACTACGGTAGGGTGGAGGAGTAACATTTTAAAGCCCACTTTCCTCCCGCACAGAAAACTCAGCTAAAGCCTGACTCATTCCAGCAAAAGGATGCGAACTTTGTTCGAAACAGAATAAAACTTGATCCATGTGGCTTATTCAGGAGGCAGAGCTGGTCTAGGGAATTTATGCAAACAATACACTGAGAAGCCAACAATAAAGTCACTGTGGAGCTGAGTGTCTGCCCTGATTTGTACCAAACACCACCCAGCTGAAGAGCAGCTGTATCTGAGGCCTCCAGGCTGCTGAAGGCCCGTGGCAATATTATTTTAACCAGCTCAACAAGTTTCATGCCACTCACCCCGCCTTGCAGCATTACCTTGTGCACAAGCCCTTAGAGCTCCTCAAAAGACTTATTTATTAGATAGTGCAAGACAATAGGAATGGAACATAAGAGTTGGCGCGTGTGCTTCGGAAGGGACCTTCTCTGTACGGATGCCGGAGGCTTTCCGGAGCTCCCCAGCTATTCAGAATACACCCCATTGAACTGATTTGATTAAAGAGGCTTGAAAATGAGTTGCTGAAATAAAGATGCTCAGTCACAAACAGATCTTTAGATACTCTGAAGTTGGATTATACTTATTATACTTAGATACCTGCAAGCCAACCAAATCTCACACCGGGATTTAAGGACTCCTTGGCTAAAAGGATGCTAAGGAGAAGGCAGCACAACCCCAACTTCCCACCATCCAAACAGGCAAGAAAAAAATTAAAAGTCTCCTCCACGCAGAAGATGGTTGGTCTTTCATTTGGTCACAGGGAACTTTTAGGAATCATTTTGCTTTCAGAAACCAGAATTAAAATAGAAAGCAGGCAGAGTGTCTCCTACGGCACTACTGATGCCATATGTTTATAAAAACAAAACCAAACCCACACCACACTAGCACCTTTAGAGGAATGCGGATACTTGCTTTCCCACGGAGCTCTCCCGTGTGCCACTTTCTGAGCCCAGCAGTTACCTGGATTACCCAGGGAGGAGCATCAGTACCAGGTTCCTGCATCACCTTCATGTCTTGGAGCAGGAAGAGCTCTTTTTCCTTCAGAAGTTTCTTTAAACTACTTCTATTCAAGCCCATTTTTCCCAGGACATGTGTGGAAACCCTATTGTCGTGCAAAAACGAAGGCAGGAATGATTCTTTCACTCCTGACGTCCACCCCTGCTAATTTTATAGTTCGCTCCATTTCTGTAGAGGGAAGATTGAAGCCAGCCTAAATTCTATTAGCAGGAAGACTTTTGTTTTTTAGTGTTTTTTCTTTCCCTTCTTTCTCCTGCTAAAACGCAGGCTTCACCCTTAAACTTCCATAATACAGACTGCCTCTGCTGCCCAGAAAGGTCTTAAACGCAACCCAAAGGAGGGGGAAGGTTTATTCCCAGCCTGCCCTTGAACCCCTCGCTCTGCCTGCCCATCCCAGCAGCCCGGATCCGTGTCTCGGCAAGGAAGGAAGACGCTGGTCGTCAGTGCCACGGGCCGCCATGGGATCCGCACGCAGAAAGCTCTGCGCAGAATTTAAAATCTGATTTCTGCAACCTCCAGGGATCCTTTGCACATTAAAAAGCTTAGCACGAGTCTTTATATCTCTTATTTCTATTACTGCTGGAAAGGCACCGAAATCTACCTAGGGAGATTTTTATCATCTCCAGGGCAGAAAGACCTTCAGGTTTTTATTCCACCATTTATCCCAACAAATATGACTGCAGCCAAACACACCACACAATCCTAACACGGACAGGAGCTGTAGACTTGTATCTCCGTGATTAAGAGGAGCGCTGTTGCTAGGGCAACTAGGCTATTCCCATCTCTAAACGCAGGCTAGCACAGCGCTGTGCCGGCTGCTCGGATCTGCAGCCACCCGGAGCAGAAGGGACTGGAGGAAAGGGCCGGGAGACGGGCGCTCAGCGGAGCCTCCGGCTGCTCGGGGCGCTGCTGCTGCAGAGAGCGGCCCAGCCCAGGGGACAGCGCTGGGTTCCTCAGCTAAACCCACGGGGTAGTGAGAGCACGGAGAGGGCCACCGTTCTCCTCCTGTCAGCGACCCACCCCAGGAACCACCCCGTCAAAATCTCTTGGGATGGGAAAGAGCTAAGGAGGGAGGAAACACAGGGACACCTCACAGGGAACAGCTAACAAAAGGGAAGGGGTGGGAGGATGATGGGCTCAAACACGCGGTTTGCGACAGCACCAGAAGGACATCCCAAGCAGACAGCCCCCCCTGAGCCTTCTGCTCCCAGAAGCGTCAGTGGAGCTGGTGGATGCTGCTGTGGGGGCTCTGCTTGAGACATGAATGAAAGGGAAGTAGAAAAAAAGAAATTGAAAACAGGATCTCAGGCAGGGAGCAAAGCAGCCTGGGTTCAAGGCCTGGGACCCGGCTTAGCAGTGGAACTATAGACCCTGCAGAGACTTGGCCACAGAGCACGACCTCCGACTGCCAGGTGCCAGTGTCAGCTGCCACAGACGACTATTCCCTCCTACTCGGTGCCACATCCACTCCTTGGGAGTAAGGCAGAGGTCTACCTTGCAAAAGGGAAGGGAAAAAGAAATGAGCTTCTAATAAAAAGAAACATTGACTGCATCTAATCCAAGGCCACACGATGGTTCAAAGCACATGTCATTCTTCCAGCACCCATAGGTGTTTGAGAAGCTTCACAGCAGCACGTCAAGAAGCTTCCAACCTGTGCTCTGGCTGAGAGCTCCGGACCCAGACTAGCGCAGACCTGCCCACGCAAGCAAACACCCAGAAACCTGGAGACCGTTTTCCACATCGTGCCAAAGCCCCACACCAACACGGATGCATCACGACTGGTACCAAGGCTAGCACGTGTCTGGAATGTTTATACATGTTGCAAAATTAGCTGCCAGCAGCAGAGCAGAAGAGAGCTAAGGCTCGGGGCGCCCTTCTGCGCAGGGAAGGGCTAAGGCCACAGGGAGACGATGCCTTGTCCTGGCAGCCACCGGCCGTAAAGCGCTGCCTGGCCACGTCCCCCAAGCCCTCAGCTCTGCAGCCCCGCAAGCAGCTGCGCGCCAGGAAAGGAGCTCGGCAGCTCAACAAAAAGTATTTCTGAAGTTTCTGCTCCAAGCTGGATGAGCTCTCTGATCTGGTTCACGGCACAGAAATCCAAACTGAAAGGATACCCACCCCTGCCCCGCTGCCTGTGTGTAACGCAGCAGCGAAGCACAGCTACTGTTTCCTTCGGGCTGAACCATAGTCAAATTCTGTGATTTAGAAATGGTTGGGCTGGCGACAAGTTACCAAAATGCTGCATTTCCCACCACCCTTTTTTTTTTTTTTTATAATCTATGTTAACTAGGGTACTCTCCCGACCTTAATACAAGCTTTTGCACACATTGGTTTCCTTGCTGATAAACAACATGGAATCAGAACATCTTATTTCTCAGTACAAGACAGGCAGCTTGCAGAGGGAGCAGGGATCTGGGCCCAATGCTGAGCACATGTAGAAGTACTTTGGTGTGGATGGACTGTGAATGCAGCTGCCCAGGGAATTGAGCAGAACTTTCTAAAGAATAATAATAATAAAGAAACTATGGAAACTAAGCATCTTGCTTATTTTCCTTGACACTTTCCAAGTCTTCCCCCTTCAAAGCCAGGAAACAGCCCAATGACTATTTGGAAACTTTGCCCAAAAGTGGAATCCATGAATGATAGTTACACTGTCTACTATTGGAGGAATGTGCCCTAGAGCCAGGATCACACACCAAAAGGAAGGAAAAAAAAACAAACCAAAAGAAAAAAACTTTACTATGTCAACATCCAATGTCTTTATTCTGCTCAGATCAATAAAGC